GCAAACCTTGGAAAGACGGGATATATTATAAAGTCCTAAATAAAGATGACTTCAATGACTTAAAATGGTAGAACCAGTTCTGAATAACATCTTTAATGGCTACTTTTTAAACAAAACAGATATGCACAAAGCCACAGAGAAAACAGAAGAAAGAGTAATCCAACATTTAAGAAACTGTCATCATGTGCCACGGTTCATCTCAACAACTCTGATAACAAGAGTTAGATGCGTTTGCCCTTGTGGGTGTAAAGTGTGCATTAAGTCAGTGTTACACTGAGGCTGCCTATTGTTGTAAATAATTACACAGCCCCCCATAGATACCAGGAGCCAGCTGAAAGGGAATAAAGATGAAAAATACATGTGATACTGACACTAGAAATAAGTGTTGCAACTTCCAGAGTGCTATAATAGATTAACAATTAAAAAGACAACAGCTACAGTAAGTGCTGCAGACCTTTGTGTATTCTGTTATCGCAGTTCAAAATAGCATTTTGTGTGTCTGCTCCTCTGTATTCATGTAAGCATTTCCCCTCATACTGTCCTCAACAGCACAAGACAGAACAGAGACAGCTGCATCTGAGTACATACCATCACATATAAACACTTACTCAACGGAAGATTGGACACAACATAAATACGCAAGTATCGTGCATACGTAGCATTCTTGGCATACACATGCATTCTCTACATGCTTTAGACAGGGAGGTTAGGAAGTGATGCTGTTGTTGTCAATTATCTCCTATTGTTATTCAGATTCTCTAAAGCACGCTGCGGTGTCACACTCTTAACCCTTCTGCTTCACAGTCTTGTCTTTCAGAGACGGTCTTCTGTCTGCCGACCGCCCACCGAATGGTGGTAATTACACTATTTAACTCCAAGTTCATAGGCCAGCACTCGCGTTGCGAGTTCACCAAAGCTCACCATGGTAACCTGTCAACATCTTTGTGGGGATTGTTGCCATCAGGGCATAGAAGGGTCAAGCTCTTAAACTATATCTCCAAGAGCAGTCACATGTACTCTAACACTTACCGGTCCAGCTAAGCAGGTATTAAATATAACAATATCTAGAATGTTAAGCAAGTCGAATTTTTGTGTAGCTCGGGCAAAAAAAAAAAAAAAAACAAAAAAACAAAACTTTTTTATTGCTGTTGGCTCTAAGAGTCGCTTGATGTTGTCACTTTACGTTTTTTCGGAGAAATCAAGTTTAACGAAGCGGAAACACCGAAAAATTAGTCCAACTTAGAAGTGCCCAAAAATGCAGTTCTTGGAGAGGTTGTTTGAGACTGGCGACAAAAATCGAGTCCAGTGTAAAATGTCAAACCACACACCATAAAAAAAGCATGTTTACAGCCTGGTACGAGAAGTGGCTTTGGCTTCTATGGGTTGTTCCTTCCTTCAATAAACAGCTATAGACTATGTGCAACTTAGCATATGCTACTTCCGGTGGGGAAACTCCTGTAGGGCGCTTCGTTTCCGGTGTGATATTCGTGTCTTGTTTACGGTCGGGTTTTCCAAAAAAAGTCAACCAAATGGACGAATCAAGCAGCGATTTACATTTCTCAAGTTGTCTTGGGCATTTACCGAATATATCTGTAGATGATGTTTGTCGACTTGTCGATATTTTTCCCTCGTGCCTCAGAGCAAAAGAGAGAAAGGATTGAAATTTCTCAGTATTTGTATATAGAGTTCCCTCATTTATTGCGGATGTTATGTTCTAAAAATAACCAGGGATAGGTGTTTAAACACTCTCAAAGTTGAAAGCTTTGTAAAAAAAAAAAAGGCCATTATAGAATGAAACCAAAGATCAAAACCTGCTTTCAGTCCCAAACATTTATTTGAGAAATAAACCTACAGTATATTTGTTTTCCTATAAATAATAATGACAGATTTTAGAACTAATGAATTTAACTTTAAGCTTAATTGCTTAAATTAAGCTTAATGCACTTTATAATCCGGTGCGCGGTATGGTTAAAAAATAATAATAATAAAAATTAAAAAATAAAAAAAATACGGTAACTGCTACCTTCCTTTAGCATGTCCAGAAGTCCAACTTTTTGTGTGACGGTTAGCATCTTCCTCTGCCTTTTGGGTGCTACCGCAGGTGCCTTTGACGGTGCAAAACGTTTCGTCGACATTGTTGTGTTTGTTGGGGAGAAAACTTACAAACATACAGTACAGCACTTCAGAGTCACATTGCTAGTGACCGATGTAGCGATTCTGTACTGTACAGGAGAGCACGGCACGGAGGAGACTGACAATGATCTACAGCCGATCGGGACGCAGAACACAATATTGAATGTGGATGATGTGTCTTCTGCATGCAGTAATGCAGTTCTGCTTGTGTTGAGTGATGTAAACAAACAATCGATCTACGCTCTTCAAACATCAAAATTTATCATTTGATTTTTTTATGACACAGCAATGGTGAGTGATTTTGGAGTCCACCTTCACCTTCCCAGGCCAGCCGAGAGATATAATCTCTCCAGCGTGTCCTGGGTCTGCCCCGGGGCTTCCTCCTGGTGGGACATGCCCGGAAAACCTCACCCAGGAGGCGCCCAGGGGGCATCCTTGTCAGATGCCCGAACCACCTCAGCTGGCTCCTTTCGATGTGGAGGAGCAGCGGCTCTACTGTCAGCCCCTCCCGAATGGCCGAACTTCTCACCCTATCTCTAAGGGAGAGGCCAGTGCTTGCTAGCACTTGCTGAAAACTCAAGACATCTTATTTAGATTAACAGGTGAGATGCACGAGTCGAGAAATCAATGAGAGAATTAACCGTCTCTATATCTAGCTTTTCTTTACAGTCTCCGGTCCTGATATGTGACCAGTTAATTATTCTTTGGATTTCTTTTCTAACAATTAAGTACCTGGAAAAGTTTGTAAGTACCAAACTAGAATGTGTGTTAAACTGTGTCTTGATTTAAAAAAAAAAAAAAAGCTTAAAGACAAAATATTATCAAGAAAGTTAATAAGTAATTTGCTTGCTAGATACCAACTAAAAGAAAAAAAATGTGGGAAAAAAAACCCAGTATCTTTCTTTCTGCTGCTCCTTTTCCCTCTTCTAAACATTTTACAGTTGATATACTTTTCATGTGATAGTTTTTGCTGACAGGACACAATCTGAACCTCTTTCAATTATCGATTATGCTGATAGAAACTCTCCCATGGAGATTAGGCAGTCTGAGCCATGCTAACTCACAATATTGAACCGGTGGGTAGTGGAGTTGGTCGGTGTGGAGCTCACAGGGGTTATCTGTGACTTGCTCTAACCAAACATCAAAGCCCTTAATTAATGGGGGGATGAAAACACGATGCAGGTTATGACTTTAGCTAATTAGGGAATTGTTAAACAGAGATGGTGCTGGGGAATTCAGCAGGGGCCGCGGATGGAGAATCGATGGTCAATGAGGAAAGGGAGCAGGTAGGCAATTTGCCAGTTAATGTGTTCCCAATACCAGCAAGGAAGCCAGACGGTGCTCAAGTGGACACTACTTTATTGATAAAGACGGAAAGAATAGACATTATAGTAGCCTTAGTAAAGATAACACTTTGTGAATTTTGAACACCTTTCATTCTAAGTTGTAAAATCTGACATACTTAATCAAGTTAATGTCTCTGTTCTGGTAGTTTGCATTAGAAGACCATATCTGAAAGTTAAAATGAGGTAGGGGGCATTTTTCAGTCTTTGTTCATTTTACTGTCAGTATCATGGAAACTTTCCTCATTATTTTAATGAAAAATACATCTAATAACAACAACAACACAAATAATGCGACTACTACTACTACTACTACTACTACTACTACTACTACTACTACTAATAATAATAATACACTGTGGCCAGTAAAAACAAAATACATTTGTAATCAGTTTTTTTGATCAGTTTCAGGAGCACTAAAATATGATATCAATGATGTAATCTAGAGAAACGCTGATATGTAGCATTCACCTACATATTAGCAGACGAACGCTACATCTGCTAATATGTCAGAACTCTTTAACTAAGAGTATTTTTACTAACACATTAAGTAGCTCAATCTAATTTTCAATAATGCAACTTTGTTCATGTTTAACTGTGTTTCCATCACAGAAATGAGGGTGGCATTCAGGTATGATCGTTTTAGCCTCTATAAGAAGTCCCTGATCAGAATGTTGTTCGTTGGTCAAGCAAGCAATGCGTTTTAAGCATTATTATTCCACAGGCATTTTCAGAGAGACCGCAACATTTCTTTGTTTGTAGTTTGTGTGCAGCAATAGCCAGTATGAGGCCGCCAGCAGACAGACAAGTCCAGGATTTGTTGCCCATGTTTGCAGAGAATCAGATACAATAGGAATTTGGAGCATCAGACTTTTGATGCATCAGTGGACTAATTTGCTTAATCTTCTCAGGGCTTTGGCCCTGCTGTGGAAACAATTCACAGGACATTACACGGCAATTGGCAAAGTGAGGAAGATTGTTTCGAATCATCATAAGCTTCAGAAACTTTGCTGTAGGTGTGCAAGTGCGGACCACTTTAATTAATACTGACACAATTGCCCCTGTAATAAGCAGGGGTGTCTTCTTATAGCAATTTAAGTACCTGGTGGTATCTTATTTATCCAATTTCCATTTAAGTAGGCCAGTAATAATTATAATCTGGACTTAAGTTGAAGATCATCAAGCAAAGATGTGTGGAAAATGGTTGAGAATTCAATTTGCACAGGACTGCTGACTGTTAAGTGAACTGAACACTTAACGAGACAGAATGAGCCCCTTTGAATGTTGTACTCCATAAAAGTTACTGACCAAAACAAAGATGTATGGAGGCAAATGGACTGTGCAAATGTATGGTGAAGCTTTATTTAGCTTACCTACAAACAAGTTTTGTGGGTCATATATTCCATTGTGTGTAATTTACCAGGCACGTAAACCAACCATTAATATCCTGACATAAAATTTGAACATTTAGACAGGTTTTTTTTTTTCTGTTATGTTTAACTATTTAAAAAGTCAAGTGCTTACCGAGTCCTTTGTGGGCATCGATGCTGGTGTATTCGATGGTTCCATTATGGCCCTTCTTGGGGTTTTCCTTGTATTCTTTGTGGACTCCATCAGGGCAGTATCTGTAGGACAGCCCATAGTCTGCAAGGTAGACCTATAGTTCCCAACAGGACAGAAAAAAAAAAAATAGTCTTCCCATCTTAAAGATACATGTGAGTTTGTGCAACGTCAACAGTTGCAGGAAAAAATTGTGAAACCTTTGAAATGTTTTTCATTTCTGCATAAGCATTGCAATTGTCTCAAAATTAAGCAAAGCAGGAAAAGAAAAGCTGACTAAACTAAGTGAAAATAGTGGAGTTGATATACAGGGGGAAAACATCCATTACCATATATCTGCTTTCAACAGATAAGGTACAGTTTTTCTATTCTCCAAACATGACACTCTCTTTCAAACAGCTTTCTGGCTTTTCATCAATATCTTTAGCAAATTGCAGACAGCAGCAGTGACTTGAGAACAGTACTTTCACCTTCCAGTCATGACATGGATTATTTTATATTCTCCCAATGATAGACTTGGGTATCCTATAGATCCCTCTTCTTTAAAAACAAGAAAGGGCACCTCCTGAAAACTGTCAGACATTCACTAAAAACAGACTTTTCCCTTCTCACAGATATTTAATATTGGGTCATTGTGCTATCCTGGGACCTGCTGGAGCCAGTCGTCTAGCTTGGGGGTCACCACACTGAACACTCCGATTACCATTGTCACCACTGTTGCCTTCACCCTCCACATCTTCTCGAGCTCTTCTCTGAGCCCTTGGTACTTCTCCAGTTTCTCGAGTTCCTTCTTCCTGATGTTGCTGTCATTCTGTATCGCTACGTCTATTGTTATGGCCGTCAACCTCTGTTTGTCTACCACCACTATATCCGGTTGGTTAGCCATCACCATTTTGTCTGTCTGTATCTGGAAGTCCCACAGGATCTTAGCTTGGGTGATCTTCTTGACCACCCTTGGGGGTGTCTCCCATTTTGACCTTGGGACTTCCAGGCCATACTTGGCACAGATGTTCCTGTATACTATGCCGGCCACTTGGTTATGGTGTTGGTTATGGTGTTCCCCGTTTCTTAGCATCTTGCTCCCTGCTGTTATGTGCTGGATTGTCTCAGGGGCATCTTTACACAGCCTGCATCCGGCTTCTTGCCTGGTGTGATAGACCCCAGCCTCTATGGATCTTGCGCTCAGACCTTCTTCCTGTGCTGCCATGATTAGTGCCTCTGTGCTGTCTTTCAGTTCAGCTTTGTCCAGCCACTGGTGGATTTCTGGATATCAGCCACTTCCTCTATCTGCCGGTGGTACATACCGTACAGCGCCCTGTCCTTCCATGATTGTTCCTCTTCTGCTCCTCTTTCTTGAGGTTCTGCTACCTGAGGTATTCACTGAGCATGCAGCCAGTTGTGGCCATCTTCCTTATGTACTCGTGGATGTTCGTTGTCTCACTGTGGTACTGACACACACTAGCCCTTGGCCTCCTTCCTCCCACTTTCCTAGCGGCCTCTTCGTGGTTCCCATTTGCCTGTGGGATTCCCAGGTACTTGTATCTGTCGTCAATGTCTGCAATGTTGCCTTCTGCTAGATGAAATTGTTTAACAGAATCCTCTACATCTTTTTTATAACTTTAATGAAACAGATGTTGTTTTGGGTTATATTTAAGATCAATGCAGTTTAAAGAAAATCAGCGGGTTTTATTCTCTCCTGTAACTGTACCAGGGATCTGCAGTGGACTGACCTGTTCAGGGTCCCTGTAACCCAGCATGAGGTTGGCAGCTTTAATGTCAGCATGGACGTACTCATTCTCATGTATGTACTCCAGTATATCCACCTGGCACAAGAATCAAAAGCATACAAAACAAGAATTTTATAGGCAGACAGTAATGCAGTAAAACGAACGTTTTGGTAAAACGGGGTCATAATTTGTCAAACTGGCCTTTAACTGTGTCATTGATAGGCGATCAGGCTGCCTCAGCTTATTTATACTGGAATAATTGAACAGGTCAAAATATGATAATTATCTCACCAGTCTCTGTCCAAGCTGGAGAACAGTGGTCTTCTTCAGTTGGCCTCCACTGGACTCACAAGCTTTCTGAAGGTCACTTCCCAGTCGATCCATGACCATGAAACGATACCTGAGCGAGAGAAGAAAAGCTCAAACTCTTGTCCTAATTCTGACGTAACACAACACCAGATTTACTAACGACCCACACCGAAACTGTACTTTGTATAAAAGACTATGACAGGATGTTTTATTTAAAACAGTGGAACAAAATGCCAAATAACTGATGCTTTTCATAAGATTCACAAACAAGAGTCATAATATAGCAAACAAAGATGAAAAATCAAATAAAAAATTAAAAAAATCAGAGAAAACAACAGAAAAAAATCTAATACTGACAGTGATGTGAAAAACCCCCCAACACGTTTTGACTAAAAGCAGATATTCTATTGGAAATAATTACTATAGTTGCCTTAATTCTAAGGCTAGATGGTTGAAATCTGATATTAAACCAGATGACAGAGCTTTTAAGAAAGCACACGCAACCTCCCCTTCTTAAAATCAGTTTATCTGCTTGATTTTGTTTGGTTTTTTTAAACTTTGGTTGTTATACATGTGGATTTCACACTGGTGCATACAATTTACTTGATATATGACAGCACAAATAAATACTGATGTCCACTTTACTCATGTACAGAACACGAACAAAAGCCAGCTTAGCCTGGTTTCAAAAACCCCAGAGCTCCTTTTCCTTTACGTTCCAAATATTTTACCATTTTTAAGTTCTGCCCAAAGAGTCTACTTTAGAGCAAACTTCATGGAGCTAAATGAAAAAAAATGACCGAACACAAACATGCTGTTTGTGTTTTGATGCATCTTCTGGTTAGATTAAGGCTATAATACAGCCATATGCAGTGAAAATAATTTTTTTTTCAGTTATGCTTGTAATAAGCATTAAGTCAAGAGGCAATTAATCTTTTTTATAAGTTATTAATATGTGTTAATAATCTATATCAATGTCAATATACGTCTCTAATTAGCTACATGTAGACAGCGCACACATCATGAATAGATGCATGGAAAGGCAGAGAGAGAAAAAATACCAAAATCACGAGCCTGATCTGGTTTTCATAACTAATGTAAAATATCATATATACAGTTGTTATGTTACATTCGGTTATTAAACCAGACCCCCCCCCCACACACACACACACACACTTTTATTTATTTATTTTTTTTTTAAGGAAAACATAAAATAATACCAAATGTGTCAATTTCTACAAAATACTACACTCATTCCAGTTAGGACAGCTGCATTATTAAATTTAATAACATTAGAAACACGCTGATCTTTCTTCCTATTGTTTTTTTTATTTTTTTTTTTACATTTATGTTATAACAGCATTGTTCAAGTTATTTTCTCTTTGCTTAAAATTTGGTGGCTGCAAAAAAAAAAAAAACAATCATAGCAACCTATGAGTTAATCAAACCTATTAGTGTTGACTGTGTCAATACCTGAGGTTATTATACTCTGCAATTCCTGACCCCCAGTACGTCGGGATGCCCAGGAAGTCCAGCTTCTTGCTTCTCTTCCATTTTTGCACTGGAACAAGTTTAGGAACAATCACAGGTATGCATCTACACATCTACACAAGGTGCTAACATGGAGCTATTGTGTCTGAACAAAAAAAAACAAAAACTGAGCTCTAGGAAAAGTAGACAAATGTTTTGCCAAAAAAGAAAAAGAAAAAAGAAAAAAAGATTTGTCCTTGTAAGTGTAAGAACGTGTGCATACAAATATCAATCTTATTGGGACTACAAATACACACACACACACACACACACACAGGCCCCAGACAAAGCAGTGGGCCTGGCTCAGGGCTTGATGGCGGCTGGCCTGACTGGCTCTCAACCAGGCTGGCAGGTGGTCAGGGGCTCAGTGGAGGCCCGGGCATCATTACGTGTGAGTAGCTTCCTCTCCAAACGAAGGCGTTGGAGAGCTCAGACAAGCACGGAGAGTGGGGCCCAACTGCCACTGAGGTGCATGTTTGCTTTGGCTTATTATTAATTACTGAGCAGCACTCAGCAAAGCCTCTGAGTCTGCAGCCACTTCATCAGTCAAACGCTCTTGTGCTCCAGCGAGCTGCCGGGACACTGGACGGGTGGTGCTACTCACTGCTCTCGGGTTTGGCTGCCCTCTGGTAGAACTTGAGCTCCGAGAACAGGGAGCCATTCTCCTGGTACTCCTGCATGTATGAGCACACAGTATTAGCACAGTGCAGCTTTAACCAGTGACCATGCAAAAGTTAATTGTCTGTGTCTAATTCCAAAAGGTAAAATTGTGAAAAAGATTTGTGTCTCGGCCAGTGAGCATCATGTCACTTACATGCCTGTTTCAATGCTTTGTTTCCTGGTCGTTTATGTTATTATTCCTTATGTATTGGGAGAAATCATAAAAATACCTGGATGACACATGAATGTTGTCTAACTTTAGTCTCGCGAACCCATGTGAACAGCCCCGTGCAACTCTAAATGCTTTTTCTTTTTTTTAGCTCAAGTCCATGCCCAAACTTATGTTAACTGCAATTGTCACTGCGAAGATCTTTTAGAACTACTTCACACAGTTACACATACAAGAACACTGCTAGCTGACAAATAGAATTAGAATAATAGCATTAGCTTAATTTAGCATCACAGCATAATAATTAATTGACTTCTGATTGATTAATTGACTTATTGAGCTTGCTTAAGAGAGGGATTAGTTATTGTTATATCTCAAATTAAACAGCTGACAGTAAAACATCAAACAATATTTTCTTCTTCCCATTTATTTCACTGGAACATCAGGAAGCAGCAAGAAAATTTAGCATGTATAGGACTGGTTCAGAACCCAGAGTCAGACCCTGATGAAACGGCAGAAGAAGTAGAGCCATGTAACATGAGGTGTACGGACAGAACCTTCTCATCCAGGTGAAAGGGGATGAGATGAAAATAAAGAAACCGTAAAAACTAGTATTTGTGATTGACTGTTTCCTAACTGGAAGCACACACCTCCTAAACTGTTGGTGTCGTTGAGAGTTTGCAATGCAACCAGCAGAGATTTCAGGAAGTTACTGCTCCCAGCCAAGACACAGTCCAGGACATAAGCCCTTTTAAAACCAAAATGTGTCAATATTTAAGCTCTGACTTTGGTTGGGATTTAATTGAATTTACTGTGCATTTTTTCCTGTACGGCACATGGACAAACAGGCATTAATTAGACATCTCTGATTCCTGTTTCAGGTTTCAGAGCATCTTGGGGACACTAGTAAGTAAAGTAAGTAAAATTTTATTTATATAGCACCTTTCAAGATAAAAATCACAAAGTGCTTCACAGAAGCTAAAACCTAAAAATAAAAATCAACCAAAAGCAAGTTTAAAAAGATGAGTTTTTAGCTGTTTTTTTTTTTTTAAAAGCAACCACGGAGTCCACAGATCTCAGGCTCAAAGGGAGAGAGTTCCACAATCTGGGGGCCACAGTTACAAAAGCTTTGTCGCCTTTTGTTTTCAGCCTCGTGTTTTAGGCTGAAGACACTAATTCAAGTCCAAAGCATTTCTGCTTGCAAGTAAACAAAGAATGTGGCTTATGGCCTGTGCATTATTTTAGCATCTTTATTGAAGGGATAAACAGATAAAGATGCTGTCACCAAAGTTTTGTTCCCTTCACTATAGTCCAATAACAGGCACAAAAAGGCGCACGTGTGACAACTTCCAAGCAAGAAGAACATGTGGATTCCATCAAAGGCCTTTCTGTTAACACTAAACATTACTTCTTGTGCAAAGTTGGAGGAATCATCACACTGACTCTGGTTGCACTTTGCTCTCATGTTTATTTTTGGTCCATGTGAGAAAGTCAGGTGATATTTGGTGAAATAGAAAATGAAAAAAAAGAGGAAACGTCATTTTGCTGTATAACAATCTAGTCATTTAATATCAATAACCACAGTTACACCTGCTTTCTACTGCCAGCAGCATAGTGCAGCCACATTCAAGTATCACAGCATTAACGTGTCCCTGAAGGTGGACAGGTCAGCTGTGCGTGCAACATATGTACTCACCACTTTGATGACAAAATCAGTGTCTGTTCCAACAGGTCTGTCAATGTCCTTGGAGGCTGAAACATAACACAAGACAGAATGAAGACGAGACAACATAATTCATGGATGAGAGCAGGCCTCTTGGATCTTAAAAATATATCCAAGGCCAGAAGGAAATGTATACGAGTGTTTTCATCACTGGATTTGTGCATGTAAGCAGTTATCTGTTTGGAAATAAAAAGATCTATACATATTAGAGGGACTGAAAAGTCAGTTTATAACAAGCATCAACATTTATGTTCCAGCGGTGCCTGTGCACCTAAAAGCTTGCCACTGAATTTTTTACAATTCTGGCAGTTTCATGGAATATTAGGATATTACTTTAAATAAGATTTTGCATAAAATTTTATTTATTTAATATTTTTGCATAGATAAGCAATTATATTGGTTTACAATGAGGCATTCTGTCAGAAGTAAAACAAATATAAAAACATTTTAATTTCATCAAGAAATACAACATAAAGAAAAGAAAATTACACAATAAAAATCTGAAACATTAATAAATGTTGCGGTTTGTCAGCATATGACTTCATCCTCAATCTGTGTTTCCTGTCCTTGAATGTAGCACAGTCTACCGCCACTGGGAGGACCAGATTATCCTCCAGTCACGCAAGAGAATATGGTGGTTGCCTGTATGGAATGAGCATGTGATCTCGTTGCCTTTGAAAAGGTTGCTTTGAAGATGGCGACCAGGTTTATGACCACTCACATTCAGTTGCCATCTTGTTGGTGCATTTTAAGACAGAGATACAACAGCAATAAGAATCACCCTGTTATAAGTTTGTTACTGAATATGGTCAAGTTGACAATTACGTGCAATCTGTCTGTGACAATACAGCAATTAGCTGTGAAAAATCAACAATCACAAATCTGTTCATCCTCAGTCAGTCTTTGCGGAAATTCAAAGACTCATTTTGGGCTCAAGTGCAATACACTGGCAGACTGTAGAGAGCTAGGGACAGGCCATCTACCTGCAGAGCGCATCTGCTGTCAGATTGAGGTAGTGTCCAAAGTATGTGATACAGCTGGTCTGTGGACAACTCTTGCGTGGAAAAAAGCAGTTATAACATACAAAGGCTTGAAGTGAAACCATTGTTAAAAAAAACGAAAAAAAAAGGATCCACTACAGCAACTTGCTTTCTGTGTTTTTCATACTGTATTGTTTAAACTTTAATGATTTTTCAAGCTTTTTCTAGAAATGGAATGAGAAAAGCATGTCACCCACAGCTATGTGTTGCTGGGCTTCTGGGGGACTGCACCTCCATGGTTGAAAACCCCCTCCATAGGTGAATACCCATGAAGTAAATGATAAAGCATAAAACAGGGGTAGGCAACTCCAGGCCTCGAGTGCCGGTGTCCTGCAGGTTTTAGATGTGTCCTTGATCCAACACAGCTGATTCAAATGGCAAAATTACCTGGAGTTGCCTACCCCTGGCATAAAAGAAGCTTTCGTGTGTGCGCATGTGTAGGTTTGTCATCAGACACGTTGCTCCTTACCAAGATAGATCAGTCCAAAGCCACCTTGCCCGATGATTTTCCCCAGCCTCCATTTCTTCTTATCAGTGTCTATTAGTATGAAGCCTCCTGGAAGAGGTTTGGGTAGCACCGGTTTTCGTGGAGGTGCCATAAAAACTGAGAATGTTTAAAAAAAAAAAAATTATATATATGAAAACATGTAATGCCCTGAAACCACAGAACGCTGTATGCCTATGAGGAAAAGGAATCAGGGCTGTTTATGGACTTACTCAAGAGCTCTGGAAAACCTCCAAGGGAGTTAATGACGCACTCACACGAGGCTGAAGCAGTTTCTGAAAAACAAAACTGAAACAGCGAGTGTAACTGACCATTATTAAAGTATAGTTCTATATTTCACAAGTACTTAACACAATACACACATAAAACGTTAACGACTCACTGACTGTGTATATCACATGGAGTTGTTGGTCAGCTTGAATGTTTGCTATGACCAACGGCTATCTAACAGTAGTAGAAACAGTTAGCTAATAACACAAGAACCCTAATAAAAAATGGAATGACAGCTGAATACAGCACAACGCAAGACCGATAAAAACACTACAGTGTTGGCTAAAAGTTACTGGCAGAACTGCTCTGCAAAGACATTTACTGTTAGAAAACTTAATTAGCAACCTGCTAAACTCAGCTAATGAGAAGTTCTTCAGTATGACTCACGGGCTGAAATGTTCAGTAACCGCCGAGATGAAGAAAAGCCGCACGTCGTCCCTTGGGATTCTTAACTAAGAACACACCGATAAGTAATTTGAACTACGCTTTCCTCGCTGGGTTCCAGCACAAACTGCTGCCCTGTAAATTGGAAACAGAAACAAACCCCTTTCACTTCCTGAACATTATCCCTCCCGCTACGCCACACAGCCAATTGCATGCTCCAAAAAAATCTCAACAACCAATAGGGACGCGAAGGAGGCGCGTAGACATGACGTAGAAATAATAATAATAATAATAATAATAATAATAATAATAATAATAATAATAATAATAATAATAATAATCGCAGCCTCTTTGTTTCATTTAAGTGGGATGATTCATAATACATACATATAAACATTGCTACGAGTACAATGTATGTATTCCCTGCTCCGTTTATATGCAGTGTAGGGAATTAAAGGTTTAATCAAGATGTTTCAAACTAATTCACTCAGCTTTGCTTATCTTGCCTCTCTTACTTTATATCGAAATCATTCACCCTTAGCTGTCCCCCTGACTTAATCCATTATGGTCATCTTAACATCTCCAGCTTGGCCTCCTCTTTTTGTCAGTGCCACCACCTCCAAACCATATATCACAGCAGGTCTCACTATAATTTTGTAAATGTTCCCTTTCATTTTGGCTGCCGTCCTTCTGTCACAAATCACTCCTGACAATCGCCAGGTACTCATAACTGAACTCATCTACCTTCACTAACTTTACTCCTTGCATTTTCATCTATCTAGCTGTCTCTTTCTTTCATTCACACTCATGTATTCAGTCTCACTTCCAGTGACTTTCATTCCTCTTCTCTCCAGTACATACCTCCAGGTGGCTCTTTTTTTTACCCGCTTACTCTCACCACAGATCACAATTTTTTCCATAAACATCGTAATCAATGAAGAGTCTTGCCTGACCTCATCTGTAAACATGTCCTTCAGTCATTCAACCAAGAGGTTCAGAACAGGATCCTGAAGTAATCCCACCCCCATCTTGAACCCATCTGTCACTCTTTCTGCACACCTCACCACTGCCCCACTGTCCTGTCCTCCCTCGCCACTCTCATATACTTGCCCCTCCTGACTTCCTCATGCAGTACCACAGTTCCTCTCTGGGCTTGGTTATGGCTCATCAACTTATCCGTTTGTATTTTTTACAGGTCTTTACATTCTTATTCTTGATAACTGGTACCAGTATACTTCTCCATTCCTCAGACATCCACTTAAGTTTTTCCTCTATTGCCATATCTTTCTCCTCGATGCAAATCTGAGAAAAGTTCCAACCCGACTCCTTGTCTCCATATCCTTACAGTTTTCATCTCTTCCCTTAGTGTCCAGCCTCAATTACAACTCCGTATAAGCTCCTTCTTTGCCTTTGCTACTTTTCGCTTTACTGCACGTCTAACTTCCCAGTACTCCTGTCTACTTTCTTCATCTCCCTGACTATCCAGTTTTTTATTTACTAACCTACTTTGCACTTCCTTATTCCACCACCAAGTCTCCTTGTCCTTCTTCCTCTGTTCAAATGATAAACCAAACACAATCTTTGTAGTTTCCCTTAGCATGGCAGCTTTACTTTCCCTCTGTGCAGTGAATTGATTCTTCCCGCTACAACTTTAACCATTTAATCCTTGGGTCTTTTTTTACTCAGTTGTATATAGCATTCGTATTCTATTTTTATCTTATTGTATATTTTTATTCTATTTTATTCTACTGTATATAGTATATTATTTTATTCTATTCTGTACAGCTGTGTACTGTATTTATTCTTATTGTATTCTAATTTTTGCGTCATAACTTTTGCACTGTCCACTTCCTGCTGTGACAAAACAAATTTCCCACGTGTGGGACTAATAAAGGTTATCTTATCTTATCTTATCTTCCTTCACTTGCTTTCCTTTCTTGGTTTCCAAAGCACACACTGCTATACGATGCTTCCGAACTACATTCTCCCCTGCCGCCACATTACAGTCTCCTATCTCTTTCACACTGCACCTTCTGCAGAAGATGTCGTCCACATATGTGAACCTTTGTCCATTCTTACACTATGTCCTCCCTCTTCTTGACCGCAAGTATTTCCATCCTTTTCGCAAAACGAATGACCATTTGTGCTCGCTCCTTAACATCATACCTACCCAACACTTCCCATGTTTCCTTCACCTTAATGTCCGTTAAAGTCTGCTTTAATTACTAGTCTCTCCACCTTAGGACACTCTCTACCACTTCATCCAACTTATTTCAGAATTCCTCTTTCTCTTCTAACTGGCATCCAACATGTGGAGCATATGCAGTAACAACATTCATCATCACCCTTTTGATTTCCAGCTTCAAACTCAGTATCCTGTCTGACACTGTTCACATACTCTTCTTCAAGTTTACCCCTACTCCACTTCTCTTCCTATCTATACAAGAACAGTTTGAATCTACCTCCAGTGCCCGGGGACTTGCTTCCTCTCCATCTGTCCTCCTGCACACACAATACATGTACGTATCTTCTCTTAATCATTTCAGTCAGCTCTCTTCCTTTCATAGCCCCTATATTTAGTCCTTACTCTCCACTTTTCTTTCTCTCTTGCTGTTTCCTAACATGCCTTCCCTCTTTCCTTTCCTTTCCCTTTGGAATCAGCCAACAGTAGCACAGTTTCCACTAGCACCCTATTGGCCAACAGCACCAGAAACTGGGCATTGGTCGATCCGGTATAGAAATCTCATTCTTTATGATACACATCCTTGATTTGGCCAAAATTCTATCCTATGTCCCCCGCATTTATTCGGGTGTGGGACCAGCTGTAGGAGCCCATTGACATATGAATGATTATCTGCCTTGATCCCAATTTAATATGAGCTAGCCTACAGTAAAGCTACAGTGAATGTACTTTTATTGATCAGTGTAATTTTTTCTCTAAATAAAATCAATGCCATTTAAACCAGATGATGTCCTTCCCTTGGAGTAGGATACAAGTCCGCTGTATGAAAAGAGAATGTAAAACATTTCATTAGTGTATTGAGGAATAACTCTTTTTCATTAACTTAAAGGTCTAATTATGCCATTGAATAGCTGTGGGTTACCCTGCTTTGCCAAGCAGATGAACGCTATATAACAAATTAATTAGTCACGGTCTAAGTATCTCCTGTTGTATAAAAAATGCTATTGAAGAGGACCAAGAGTACATTTCTAAGTGTCCCTTATGCGGCTGGGTTGTGTTGTTATTGATCTTATAGGTAACTTTTGCTTTTAAAAAAGCCTCCTGTGTATCAACCTTGTAAAAATATAGCAGGTTCCAGTCGGGCAGGTGCTGAAAGTGTCATCTATAAATTCCAGCTTCACACACACAGCCTGGCACACCCTTTTTACACTTAAAGTGGACTCCACTTCTGCATAAATACTTCAAATAGTCAATAAGGGCAGTCGGTGTGAGCAGCAACACGCAATAAAATGGAAGAAGAGGTGGTGCTGCATTCTGACACGGGATTGGGCCTTCAAACCAGCCTCTTATATACTGCTTATTCAACTTATTTACACAGATCAATAGCAGTTTGTTTTCGGGAATTCAAGCGTCCCTGTTGTAACCGAGCTTGATCTCCGTTTTGCTGTACAACACGGTCAATACCACGGCTGGCTAATGAACACAGTCTGCAGGAACAAAACGCTGGAAACCAAGGGTGATGGTTGTGGTGGACACAAACTCACACATTTCTCTCCACTCATCGCTCTCAATCAAGCGTGTTTTATTCCAATGAAAGGAGAAGCAAAATGCCTACTCTTGTTGTTCCTGTCGGCGTGCACCTGCAGTGAGCCTATCGATCTACCGGCACCCTTAGGGCCTAATTTAACTCTCAAGGATTCTGCTATGAAAGGAAGAAAATAAAACATCACTGGTTGAACATCAGGTAGTCGTAGGAAAAAGGAGGAGAAACTGGGTCTGCTTTGGATTGGAGATCAGCTCTAAGTCATGTGTGCTGTTTGTCTGAAGATCAATGGAACAACACTTATAATGAATATAGTCTAATTATTGCACTACAGAGCTCACGATGTGTCTGAATAGCTGCTATTACTGAGCTTATATCAAATGGGATAAGGAATGCTTTTAATTGCATACCTGTAGCCCTGACTAAACGGCATTTTACAAATGTGAGAATCATCACTTTAGTATATTGTTAGATTTTTTAAATAAAATGGCCATGCAAGTTGTCCTTAAGGACCTCTGTCCCTTTTGATCCTATTTTATATATTTCCTGTCTGTAAACTAAACACTTAACGTGGACCCAAGAACGTTGATATCAAAGTTATTTTACAATGTGGGCCACACAGCCACACTGAAAAAATGGAGTCGACATCAAGCGATGATGAGCTTGTCTTAATATTTTTAAACAAGAAAAGGAAGACACTGAGACTCTGAGTTTATCCAATTCTCCAGCAGAGGGGACAATTACAGCTGTATCACATATTTCAGAATGTAAGTGGGGCAGTTTGAGCTCTTGGTGATACAGTTGGGACCTTTGATGAGGAGAGAAATAGTTTCAGAGAGCCATTTGACCTGGAGCAGTGTGTAGCTGTGTGTCTTTGGTAAAATAGCATCATTTTACTATTTACATATCATTGTATAATCATTACGGTGCACATTTTAAGCTATGAGCACATTTTTTGTCAGATTTGTTTATTCGCATGTGAAAAAAATCTGAAAAATCGAGCTCGATCCAACAAAATAAAAGCATGAAATTCATCCTGTTACACGGTTGGTGTGAATGGCTGCTCTAAGTATATGTGAGTCTGAAAAAAACATTTTAATTCTCTGTCATTTAGTTGTGTATTGCTAAATTACTTTGGTGTACGATGAATGGGTATCGGGAGGTCTTTATCAGTACAAAAACCTATAAAAAGTCAGAAAATGCAGTTAAAAGTCCAAGATTTATGCCCTCCTTCAAATTTTCCAAAGCCATCCAGTGAGGCAGATTGGAGTCTTTGCTGAGCTGAAACTGGCCCTTGGGCCTTATGTTTGACACCCATGTTATAGAAGAATACTAGGATAATAAGAATAACTACTATAAATAAGGAATATAGAGATCATGGGGCCTTTATTATAAAACGTTTCCATTTCTTGTTTGTTTGTCTGTGTACAGATCACTGGTGACTTGGTGGATGTTAGTGTGCCAACCGCTTCGGATTTTATCGTGCG